TACATGGCCTTGAATGTGTTGCAGCTTTTAGCCACAGCTTTAAACCATGACATCTCTCTCTCTCATGGGTATTGAATGGATAAATGGGTTTCTTTCTTTTCTTTTGTTTCTTGCAGAGGCTACATACCATTTTTTCACTTTTTATCCTGAATTTGCAGCTTTCAGCATCCTCAGTGGTTCTGAAGATCTATTCAAATTGAATCCACAATATGCGGCAATAAAACTCCATTTGCATGCCATAATAAAAATCTGCCACTCCCCACCTTAGCTTCAAAAGTACAAAACAGCAAGGTCACCTTAAGACATGCACAAACAGAACTGTTGCTAGGGCTAAACATCTAAATCAAAAGAAGATTACAGACCAGTTTCTATTCAGAAGTAAAGTTGCTTTTGTATTCATGTTTACTCCCATGTAAATACATGCGGAAAGAGCCAGCAATGCGTAATGGTATGAGCATTGGACTACACTCTGGAAAGCAGGATTCAAATCCTTGCTCAGCCATGGAAACCATTGGTTGACCTTGGCCAAGTCACACTCTCTCAGCCACAGAGGAAGCAAAGGCAACCTCTTCTGAACAAATTCTACCAACAAAACCCTACAATTGCCAATAAAACTCCATGCCTTAGACTGCAAGGCACACAGCAACAAACAACTATGGGATTACAGCCTTAAGAGTAGGGACGGGTATCATGTGGCTCTCCCAGTGTGGTTGAACTACAACTCCCAACAGCTTTAGCATAGCCAATAGTGAGGGATGCTGGGAGTTGTAGTCCAACAACATATGGAGGGCCACAAGTCTTCCTCTGCTTAAGGGGAAAGTCCTGTTGAACTCAACAGGATTGATTAATGAGTAGACATGAACAGGATTATGCCGCAAGGCAATTTTCTAACTATTAGAAGCAGTAAAACCTGGCCAGACTGATTAGGTTTGGTTTATTTTTGAAAAAATGCTTCCCAAGACTGTGGCAGACTATTGCACCAACCTTTTACCTCAATATTGTTAACCCCGACTGGCACCAGTTTTCCAGATTTTCAGACCAGATCCATCCTCAGTCCTACTTGGAGATCCCTGGTGGTTGTTGTTACTTACTTACAGTCGGTTCTCCATATCCGCAGATTCTGCATCCATGGATTCAACCAACCACGGTTAGCAAATATTCACACATGCACACACTCCCAAAAACAATCCTTGATTTTGCTGTTTTATAGAAATGTGGGAATGGAAGGAAAATTTCATGGGAGAGGATTTTGTTTTTCCCCCAATAGCTACCTGCCTTGTGTGGTGTAGTGTTTCGAGTATTGGACTGGGACTTGGTAAATACAGAAACACATCCTCACTGAGAAAGTCACTCTGGGATGCTCAGCTGGTCGCTCTCTCTCCAGCCATCCTATCCGGCAGGATTATTATGACTATAATAATAATAATAATAATAATAATAATAATAATAATAAATTTTATTTATAGCCCGCCCCTCTGCAGAGCAATCGGGGCGGGTTACATCAATTAAAAAACAGAAGATACAGAAGTTAAAAACAATCACATACCCATCCAACCCTCCCACCCCTTAAAACAGTATTAAACTAATTATTAATTAAAACAACATGCTCCGAAAACAACAAAATAAATAACAATACAACAAATACAACATGAGCAGCAGGGGAAGGGCAATATAGTTGTCTCCTGGAGCCGGACATTATTCCGGGAAGGCCTGCTGAAAGAGATCCGTCTTTAATGCTTTCTTGAAAGCCGCAAGAGTGGTAATATGACAGATCTCCTCCGGCAGGCCATTCCAGAGTCTGGGAGCGGTCACAGAAAAGGAGAAAGTCCTAGTTTTTATTGGCTGCAACAGATTCCTCCGCAGGGCGCGAGGAGGGTCATACGGGAAGAGGCGGTCCCTGAGATAAGATGGGCCCAAGCCATGTAGGGCTTTAAAGGTTAAAACCAACACCTTGTACTGAGCCCGGAAACTGATTGGCAGCCAGTGGAGGGATTTAAGCACAGGTGTTATGTGCTCCCTCCTTGATGTTCCAGTAATTAACCTGGCTGCCATGTTTTGCACTAATTGTTTTGCACTATGAAGCCAGAAAGAGGAGAACTATATACACTACCATGAACTCATTGAAACAAAAATGGAATATAAGAAGCATTTAAACAAACAAGTATGCTCTGAGTCTAATTGTCCACTTGATTTCTCCTCCAGCACCCATTACACGGCAATTGTTTTGAGAGTCCACCACCGGTGCTGCAAGCTGCAACCAAAATGGCAAAGCTCATCTCTGGAGCTACATCACTGACTATATTTAGGGTGTAACTACACTATAGAAATAATGCAGTTTGACACCAATTAAGTGCTGTAGACTCAAAGGCACACCACCACCACCACCAGATCCATCCTATGGAATCCTGGGATTTGTAGTTTTACATGGTCTTTAGCCTTCTCTGTTAAAGAGTGTTGGCACCTCACCAAATTACAAATCCCAGGATTCTGTAGGACGGAGCCATGGCAGTTAAAGTGGCATCAAACTGTGTTATTTCTACAGTGTAGGTGCATGGCCTTGTCTTAAGAATGCCCAATTGGTTTGTATTGTAAATTTTTGCAATCTCAGCTGGAGTTAAGTACCATCTTTGCTCCATCTTCCAGTAATTTTCCTTCAAAAATTGGTTAAATTTGGAGCAGGGAGAATCATCCGTGGTACGTTGAGCATCTCTGGAATGTAGAATACAGTTGTCATCCCACTGGACATCCAACCAACACAATTCCCTGGCTCCATAGCACTCCAACAACAACACTTCAGCCCTCAAACAACACACCTAGGAGGTCCGGCAGGACCCAGGCTAATCGATTCTCCTCCCCCACATTTTGACTCATTTCTCCCTGGCATTTTAAGTGATGCTTTTATTTCACAAGAACATTCCCCAAAGGCAAGGAAAGGAAACATCCAATGGTGTATTTTCAAAAACAGATTTCTCTTTTCTTTTTTTTTTTTTTAAAAAAAAAGGTTCCAAGCGTGTTGCTCTTTTTCCATACAACATTAATGCATAAACATTACTTATGCACTTTTATCACCTTCATGTGTATTTATTCATTCTGCCTGTGCAACTTTGTTTTGTTCAGCAATCTCAAAGCACAACAGGTAAGCTTTTCAAAACAAAACAAAACAAAAAAAAAGCTGCGGTACCTTTGGATTTTTCCCTTTGCTGAGATTGAACAGTCCTGGATTCTGGTTCATAAAAACATGCCCTAGCAGATGAGGCGACTCTGTGCAGACCTGCAGGAAAAACAGTTTGCCAATAAGCCCAAACGAAAGTCCATAGGAGGACAATATCACACAGCAAATGCCCAGTAAAATGTCTCCAAGGCAAAGATTTCCAGAAGTCCAGAAGTGTTGTGAGAAATTCCAGTGGTCTTTTCTTCGCTTCTCCAAACCCACTCTAATAAGCAATAGGGACTGAACTCTTCACTAAGGTCTTGCGTTTGTTGTTGTTGTTGTAAACCACATTCAAGCCTACCATGGTGATCCTGTGGATAGGACACCTCCAATGCTCTCCTGTCCTCCACTGTTCAGCTCAGGTCCTGAAAATTCATGCCTATGACCACTTGGATTGAGTCCATCCATCTAGCATGTGGCCTTCCTTCTTCCGTCCTCCACCATCCCTAGCATTATTGTCTTTTCCAATGATTCATGCCTTCTCATGATGTGTCCAAAGTATGACAGCCTCAGTTTGATCAGCTTGGCTTCTAGGGAGAGTTCGGGCTCGATTTGTTCAAGGACCCTTTTGTTCATCTTGTTGGCCATTCACGGCATCCTCACCACTCTTCTCCAGCACCACATCTCAAATGAGTCAATTGTCCTCTTATCTGTTTTCTTCTCTGTCCAGCTCTCACATCCATACATGGTGATGGGGAATACAACAACACCACACCACCCTGTTCTGGCATTGTCTTGCAAAAGAACAAGAGCTTTAGAGGCTCTAAAATACTTCAGTGCTCTGGTGAAAAAAATAACCAGGGATCTGTCACATTTCATATTGGAATATCAGCATGATAGATAGACCTTGTTCAATTCTGCCTGAATAAATTTCTTGAGAGAAGGGGGTGGGGGGGGGGAGAAGAACTACTTGGAAAGCCTATTTGCAGTATTTGCTGCTGAGAACTACTGTCCAAACCCTCGTTCTGTAGAAGCAGTCTGGATGACGTTTGCTATGTTCAGTACCAGAACCAGGGTATAAGAACCTTAAAACAATTTAGATCTGGAGTCCTGTGTTTCTGTGCAAGGGCATACCAATGAGCCACCTGGCATATCCGCTGCTGTCACCGGTCACTTGGTCTGAAGACAAAATGACAAACCCAGATATGTGATCATTGCTGG